ACGAATCTTGAGCAAACTGGAAAAGGGAGTCACTTACCATGTGTGGGCCCAGCTTTGTTGGACTTAATCACGGGGCTGTTAGATCCCGAGCTTGATAAGCCGCTATTAAATAGGAAGCAATTGCCGTACTTGTAGTGCCAAAATTTGGTCCAGAAATTTCCTGTGAAATTGCTAAGGGGAGAGACAATTAAAAAGACTAACTTCGTATCATTTCAAAGCTGGGTGTAAAGTGTACGAGTTAATCCAGTTAAAGGTGCATTTTCCTCTGGGACTTGAGTCGCCTTCAACAATTTACGTAACATTCAGATTTAAGAATTCTCATGTGAGGATACAGCTGAGCCATGAAAGTCTTGTTAGATCACAAATTTCTGAGCACTCTAAGGTTTTACTTACATAATTTACACGGCATGCTACAGTTACCTGCAAGAAACGCCACGATAAGTGCAGGACAAAATCATGTCTTCAAACTGATGACCCAAATTTGAAAGATAATCTTCGTCTTTTCCAGCCAACAAAAGAGAAACTTTTTCACTTGCGAAATATTCTTCATCAAGATTTTCTGGATCTTCCACATCGTCGTCTCCCCAGTAATCAAAATCTTCATCGTAATCTTCATCGTAGTCTGTTGGGGTTGGACCGTACGTGGTTGGCACTGCATCATCGTTTGCTAGAGAGGAAGTGGAGTTCGACGACGAATCTAAACATCAATAGGAGGAACGAGTTAGTGTTTCATAAGAGAATGGAAAAACTCACCGTCCCTTCACGCCAAAATGTGAGAGAAAGGAATTTCAAAGAAAGGCTTCTTACACAAGGGAAAGCGATTACAGAATATGCATCTTTGCCAAGTATTACACCAGCTAAAGGTATACTCCTTTCAGTTGCCGGACAGGAACCTTTCAGTTTCCGATCAGGAACCTTTCTGGGTTATCTGCAAACTCCTCATAATTACCAGCAAACTACTATGAGATGTTGGAAAACTCTTCTACATTGTCGACAAACTACTCTAAATTGTTGTCAAACTTCTACAAGTTGTTATCGAACTCCTTTGAGTTGTCAGTAAACTCCTCAGAGTTGTTAGGAAACTCCTACTGAGCTGTCAGCAAACTTCTCAGAGTTATTAGCAAACTCCAGTGAACTGTTGAAAATCTCCTTTGATTTGTCGGCAAACACGTCAGAGTTTTCAGAGGAGAAATCGTTTTCCTTTGTACTTGTGGATATATATGACCAAGTTAAACTATCTATCATTTTTCTTTTCTTTGCTATGAAACTCTATGTATTAATTGACTTAAAGTCTTACTTTGCTTTTTAATCGTGTCAAGGAGGTCACTGAAGTCGCTTTTCACAAGTGCGTCGTACTTGATAGCATTAAAGTTGCATAATGTGACAGTGGGGAATGGAAGGCTCTGGAAAAAAATTAGTTTTAAAGTAATGGACATCAAAGTTTGCAAAACTTAGAGCATTGAAAAAAGGCACGGGTTATAATAGAGTAACGGAACTTTCTTTTGATCCCTTGCTAAATTCTTTCCGCTCTTCCGCTGAATGCCTGGAGCTGGTGTATCGTTTTTAATTAGGAATTATATGAACATGATATCAATGATAAACAACCGAAGCTAGTCCACGGAATACCAATGAAAGCTGAAAATGGAATAATGAGACGGAAGATAACAATGTAGGAACATTTCAAGTTGACATATTCCATGATCATAAATTCTCAGCTTGAGAATGACTGCGCACGACAAGACTGTTTGCTACTATCGCTTAAGTTGAAATCATTTTACGTCTCCACCAATTCTTATTCTTGTAACTTAATATCCACTTAGCTCTTAATCCTTACCGTGTCAGACTGCAGTGACACGAGTGTGACCAGCGGTCTACTCTGGTATTTCTCAAAAAGTGTCAAAACCTGAAAGCACAGCACCACGATGGCTGCAATAAACAACAAACTCCAGAACGCCTTGCGAATCCACTGTTTTGAGGACATGATCCTCTCAAAGCCATGCGCGGATGTATAACCACAGAAGTCTTTGGTCAGAGACGTGAAAGTATCCACACTCTTCTGCTCCTCTTTCGTTTTCACCCACTCCTGCTGATCCATGCCTGCTTTAGGTTGTTTCATTCCTTTCTACTGAAAACAAGTTTATTCAAGGTTACACTGAAGAAAATACTGTTTTCAAGAGGATATTTCGAGTCAGCTATACCGAGGTCTTTGATGATACCCTCCAAGATCACTTTTGTCGAAAGTAATTCGTGCAATCATTTAATTCTACTCTGACGACGAATGGCGTGTTTCGCTCTTATAAGTGTTGTATACGTTTCTTATTTTCAAGTCTGTGAAGCAGAAATTTCTTTTTTTCTGCTACGTTTTTCCTAATTTGAATGCTGCTACCATCTGAGGACATATGCACCGACTTCCTCACGAGACACTTTTGTTCCTTGATTTCTAAATGCTCTTGACAAAACATTGATCCAGCAACAGTACCATGGTCAGCAACGATGGGCAGCGTGCAGTCCAACCCACAATTACGGTTATTAACATAACACTAACAACTAACAGTCAGTGAGGTCAGGATAAATAAATAATCGTAACTAAAAGGCAGAAATACAAGAAAACAAAGAAATTATGTTTAGTTGAATGCTCTGTAGATAAGAAATACGATGCGAACGCGGATAATTAGAGTTGAAGACAAAACTATCCAGACTACACAAATGACATTCAAACGGATTCCCAGCCTTCCTTTTTCAATGCCGCAAATGGAGACCCTAGCTAATTCCCGCTTAACCTTTCGTCTACTACCTTGGGCAGATCTTTAATCGGTTACATGTAACACGAAAGACAAAACAGTGATGTCTATTTGCAAAGCGAGAATAGTTGATAATATTTGTGAAGTCACAAATCAGGATATAGTTGTTTATCAATCTGTGCATTTTAAGTTATTTCCATAGGGGGTTTTGTATAAAGACAGGTTGCCTAGAAATAAAAATGCTCTTGTAACAATGCTCGGTAATTTCTTTCTTATTCAGAGTATTTGATGTTTTGATACAAAATGATTACGAGAGAGTTAACACCTCGTACGTTCAAACCCGTGATTATGAACGTTCAGATGCTATTGTACATAAGTCACTCCATCATCTTATCATTAAACCTAATCAGTTACTGACCCACAACATGCATTTATAGCCTATTTGAAATAATTGTAGCAGTTGTTCAGCGATTCAATGAGCAATGTTGAAGTTGCCTTGATGCATGAGGTACTTAACATATGTACTGACCAAAGTATATACGTAAGCGGTAATTTTTAATTATGTCAAAGTTTAAAGTAGTCAAAATGGCCTTCATCATGTGTACAAGTCAGCAAACATGCTTGCCATTTCGGTTTTACTTGACAAAACATCGTTAAAATGTCTATTATTTTGTCTGGAGAAGACAATCTTGCGCAATTAACGAACATAATGCAGTTGGCAAAGCCAGATCAACAAAACATGGATACCGACAAGATAGAAGTATGATTTTTATTTGTGAAATGACTCTCGTGCACAATTTCACAATCACTGAAAGGCGCTTGATGGTGCAATTAATCTGAGCTGCATGTGTTGACGCACAGTGATGATAATCTGTAAGATGAACAATTTAACTTTGCACGAATCGGTAAAACCAAATTAAAGCCTCTGTTCAGAGGTTACTAAAATACTCAAGCCAGATCACCAACAGCCATTCGAATGGCATGAAGCATTTCTCTGAGAAACCGAAATTGTTGCGAGCTGATCTTTTATGACTTATTAACCGCTAAAAGAGCAAGTCTTAGAGTAACACAAATTAACGAACAGTTAAGTGCCTCGTGAAACCCTTCAGTAGTGATGAATCTTTACTTACATCTGTCTAAGAAGGATTAAACTAAATATTTACCATTCGTTGTCTAACTTGAACCCAGCTTTTGCACCATCACCACTTTTTAAGCGCTTTGCATCTGTATGAAGGACCTTCACTCGCGGCGATTTTTGATCATCAGATGTTTAGACTGTTTCTTCAATAAGGACGGTTCACGCTTCTTGAAAACAATGTTGTTATTTGCGCTTTTGAATCACTGAAGCAAAGCCGCCTCAAAAGATTCAATGGATGGCATACAAATGACTTTATTATTGACAGTGTTATAATGAGCCTGGTCAGAATAATAATGAATTAATTGTATTCAGTGATATTTGGCCCCAAAATTTCTGTTGATTCATTGAGCTTTTTGTCCTTGCACTTTTCTGCGTACTCCATCTTTTCAGTTCCCTTTGAAAAATTAGGCCCAGAAATAAACATTTCTGATAGAAGGAAACCGGATCGTCCCCTTCCGTATATTTCAATTACATTTTGCTGGGCATTGTTAACTTTGTTTTCGTATTTCAGTGAAAACAGCTGCCTTTTTTAATAAACACAGGGCTATTTTTAACGAGATTCACAAAAATTAATATAAGTGTTTCCTTTTTCCTGGTTCACAGAATAGTGCCCTTCCCTCCAACGTTCGCTAAAAAAAAGGATTTATCGCTATTTCAACGTTCACAGAACTTGTTGATAGTAGTGGTCATTAGAAATATAGCGAGAGTTCTTCAATTATTTAGTAGTTTCACGAAAAAACATTTACGTATGACTATTCAGAAAATAAAAGTCGTCAAAATCAAAAATAAATTGATACTATGGTTGATGGTTCTGTTTATAATACACACTTCAACCTTCCGACCAGTTTAGTGTCACGAATAAGGCCGTGAAATCAGTTTTAGTCATTATTCTCGGCTTACACATTTCGCATTACTCCTAGTTGAAATTTTGGTGAAATTGACAAGAATGTCTCTCTAAATACATAAGTATTTTGTTATAAACTCAATTGCAGTTCCTCGAGTCGAAAGGTGATAATGAATATTTAAAACGAAGTTCGGTGAGATATAAAAGAATATTTACTCACGCGTAATTATCTTCTCAGAAGCTGTTTTGATCTTTCAGATGGTTTGATATTCTTAAAACTTTCTTCTTTTCAGTGTTTAACTCATTACGTAAAACACCGAAAAGAAGAAAGTGTCTTTGCTGTGTGGATTTATTTTTTGACAGGAAATGTATCTAAAAGTGTTTCTATTAAACTACAAGAAATCTCAATTTTCCTCGTCAATTTTACTCTACAAAACAGTTATTCTTCGTCATAAAGTAAATACGTAAAGACGGCTGAGATCATTGTTAATTTTCTCTCCTAATGTACGTATTACAGAAAGGTAATGAAGCATCATTCTGAAGAAATCGTAAGAAGATCATAAGTTGGACGTACGAGAGTTATTTACTGAAAACATCAACAGCAGAAAAAAAACGTCGCAAAGATAGAGAGCGGCCCGACAATTGCTGCTAATGTTGAAAAACTGAGCCATAAGATAATTGGCCAATAACTTGTTTGCAATAGAAAAATGATGTTTTTGTACCTTATCAGACGTCCACTTGAAGTCCTTTCTGGAGGAAACCTTGAAATAGTTTTGTATCCTTCTTCGTAATGTAAAATAAAGAGTTTAAATCTAAACGAATCTTTAAATTGTTTGCAAATGATGACGATGATGGGAAATGTCAAATGCACGGTTTAACAGACGACCAAACACAAAATTTCTTAGATTTCCATTTTACCAATATAAACAACAATTTCAAGTAGAATGTTTTTGACCCGCTTCCAATTATTTATAGGGCCTTGAGGTGATTTGTCTCGGGAATTTACCAGCTTGGGCGGAGTCTTTTCTTCCGGTCATACTTTTGCTAGGCAACTGTCACGATTAAGCAACATCTTGATCGTTAATATGGGTTCGCTTTGAGCGAATTGATTAGGTACTTAAGAGCGTACCTTATGTGATACAACATCACTAATGAAAATTTTAGAGATCGGATTAGGCCAGAAAAAAAATAATGATACGGAACTATGCGGAATTATCTCATAAGGAAAGTTACTGTGCAAGGCAACCTTTTACCGTGTCTTCATTATCATATTCGTGTTCATCTAGAACTGAAGTCTTTTTCGCTTAAAACGTAATATGCTTCTCATAATATGTAAAAATAAGAGGGAACGTAGGATACGATCCGTAGCTGTTCACAAAGATGTAAATGAATAGTGAGTTCTGAGGAAATATGTCAAAATTATGAATTAATGTTTAGCATGGTGATGATGTAATAAGTGTTCGTGATAACCAGAGTAGGCCTCAGAAGCTTTAAAACAGGATTCAAAATCAGACCACAAGCTACACGACTCACAAATAATGATGTCGAGGGTTATGTAACGACAATTTAACGGGCTGAGGAAATTTAAAGTTTGGACTGCAAAGTCACCAACGAATATGTCGGTGAAAAAGGATAATAACACGAAGGCCTGATATGTTTTCTCTAAAGCATAATTGCAAAATTTTAAGAGTATTATTTTAAACAGGCACCAGTGGTGAACAATTGTGACCCGAGGGTCGGCCGCCCAATTTGGACCTAAATCATTTGTGGTATACAAACATCACGAATGCATTGAGTCACCCTGCTATGATACAAAAAAAAACATGGCAAAACAAAAATAGGATGATTTGACGCAAAGCTCCAGCATCTCAGTAATGTTTTAATTGCATCTTACTCTGCAATCTTAATCAGTTAATCTAGAGGATTGAACGCACCTAAACATCATTTGTCGCATAATGCTGAACGTTGATGTAAACAAAAACTTCTAGAATTTGTGTTATAGTTATGTTAAGGACGGTAATTCCTCGATAGCTTTGCATCGTCAAGGATTGTCCCACAGGGAAACTGAAAAGTTTTGGCACAAACTGATATGATGATGTAAATTTCATTAACCACCAAAATGAGTGATAACTGACTAGGAGAAACCTTCTAGAAATTAGCACGCTCCATAACAATTACATTTAACCATCTCAAAACTTGATAATTTGTTGGCTAAAAGAAAGAAAAGCATTCTGTGCAATTCAACAAATATGATGCGCAGTTTATAAAACATTACCTTGAAAAAAAATGTGACCACCTCCTACGCATCCAACGTCTATTTTGTATCGACAAATGTTTTTACCTCAATGTGATGTAAATTACTCGATAAAATATAATTTTAGTTGCTGTAAACGTACGTTACGTGATATCACCCACCACTTCATTGAAAGGCGTCATTTCCCTTTTTATAATAATTTGACTGATCCGTGTCGCAACCCACTTGCCATCTCCAAATGCAAAGTACTATGGGCGACGTTTAATAATCGCAATCAAGTGGCAAAGAAACACAATTTGATGTTATTTAGAGTCATTCAGCGATAATCTAATAGTGACATTTCTGGTTTTAATTTCAAGTAAGCCTAATATTCAAATTTATAAGGGGACGAAGTTGGACAAAAAAAGTCGTTAAAAAGATTTTCTTTTTCTTCTTTGCCTGCTAACAATTTCATTTCAAAATGAGCTGTATGATCAAACGAGTGTAATAATCACCAAATATACTTGTTCTTAGAAAGAAGCTTAATCTTATCTCCACAACCTAATTAAACTAACGAAAAATTGATAATGAATGATGACATTACGAACTTCTCTAAGCCTAAGCGCTGTTCATAATTTAGGACTGAACATCATAATACGAAAGTAAAAAACAGCATTATTTGAAAAGTCAAAATGTTTTGGTGATATGGTCTTAAATCCTTCAAAAAAAATTATTTTAATTCGCGGTATGTTTTTCTTTTCAGTTGATATTAATTTTATGTGATTATTTTTCAAAATAGCTGGTATGATTTTCGCGACTCTCTTTGAGTTTTAGAGTACATCCAGTAAATACGGTACATACAGCGCTGTTTTTTAAAGTAGAAAGTCATTTTGTAAAGAGTAAACATTGCGAATGTATCTTCTCAGTGTGCGAACTCCGCTCTGAGTAGTTTAGCGTCATTCGCTAATTAAGCATGACGAAGGTTAGAGATTTACAGCTCTGTAAGCGTCACCTTTATAAGCGGTGACCCACACTTTCCTAGAGGAGGGGGGCATTGGGGCCCATTAGAAACCGCAAAACTGTAGAAAGAATAATCCCAAACCGAAAAACCGACAAAAATTTGATCAAAACCGAAAACCACATGCAAAACTGTCAAAACCAATACATTTTCACATCCCAGTTATTGAAACCCTGATCGATCCGATACTGAGTGGTGACGAGTGGAGCGTACAGAGTAAACTGCACTAATTTCATGACAGGATTTATGAATACCATGGACTTGGCATTCGTATCTTCTAGTACCTGCTTAAATTAACAGCTGCTTTCTCGAGGACCTCGAGCGTGGTCTCTGCGGACTCAGCAGCTGGTAATGGAGCCCAATTAAATTAAGAAAATTCGCACAAAAGTCCTCGATAGGATTGCAATTTTGCAGTCGCAAAAAGCTATAGCTCTGAAAAGTTTCATCGAAAATCCCTAATCCAACATTTTCATTTGCGAACTAAGACCTGAAA